GAGAGAGAGAGAGAGAGAGAGGGGGGGGGGGGGCCACATGGATAAATCCTGATGTTACTGGAAGCTTCTCTCAGCTTTTTTTGAAGCTGAACACCTAACAGGGATGGCATTTGTCAAGCTGGAACGAAAAGGCTTGACACACACACACACAGACACACCCTGCTCTGAATCTGTATTCTGAGCTCCAGAGGTGTTTTTGTTTCCCTTCCCTTTCCTCCACTCTTCCTTCCTTCCTTCCTTCCTTCCTTCCTTCCTTCCCTCCCTCCTCCATATTCCTTCTTCCCTCCTGACCTCCCTCCCTCCCCTTTCCCTCCCTCCGTTTTCCTGCATTTCTTTTTTATTCGGGGTGCCAGCAATGACGCAGACCAGGAGCTGTTCTTTATTTTTGCAGCCGGCTCCTCCTGCAGAGAGCGGGAGGGTGGGAGTCTCAGGCTCCGTGGCCCCCAAGGGAGGAGGAGGGCCTGGCTGCCTTTCCGTTTAACACAATCCACATGTGACGGTGATGCAGGCATTACGAAAACCCACTCATTGATGGCAGCCTGGAGAGCCGGGTTGCTAAGAGACGGAGCCCAGCTCATCTGGGGGCACAGGAGGCCCAAATCCTCCTGCCACGCAAGGGCTGGGGGCTGCGGGTGTGTGTGTGTGTGGATGTGCGCATGTACACAAGGGAGGGCTGATCAAAACGTCACACCGAAACATCATTTGTTGAGCAATGGCTTTCTAAGTGAACCACAACTGGCTGGACTCACACACATTTCCGGAAGTGAGAGAGCCTGGCAGATGGTTAGCCCCACAGGTGACCTAACCCAGCCATCCAAACATCTCCCCCAAAATCTGAAGTGCCCCCTTCTCTCATAGCCAAATTGCCTTCCTGTTAGCAATGTTACTTAAGATGAAGATAAAGGCAGAGAATCCTAGCTGAACTCCCACTCCTTCCATCACCAGCCTCCACATAACAGAATGACAGGGCTAAAAAGGGACCCTGGAGGTCTTCTAGTCCAACTCTCCCTCCCACCGCTTCAGGCAGGAAACCCCATTTACCGTTTCAGATGAAAACCTGCCCAATCTCTATGCTGAGGTTTCCCTGCAGCCTCCTCTGGGCTTAGCATAAGTCGAGTCAGCCTCATTTCATTAAGCAGCGGCCTCCCCCAATCATAGTTCCAGGCTTTGGCTGCTCCCTGTTCTCCTCCTCGTGGGTGGGGTGCAGCCCTTGGGGGACCCTCTGAGGATCAGAAATAAGGGGCTGCACGCCCCAAACATCTGGGACGCCCTAACGAGGGCCTGGAAGAAGCTGGCTCTAGCCCAGGAGCTCCCAGCCTTTTTTGGGCCATGAAGCATCTCTAAAATCCTGACGCCCCCCTCCCCCCCCAACATATAATTCTTACTTTACTCCAAAAGGGAACCCTGGAAGCCTCAAAGGCCATCCGTGCTCCGGCCCAAAGGGAGCAGAACTGGAGCACCAGCAGCCTGGACAGCTACTGTGGGGAGCTGTTCCTTCAGCACCTCCCTCCCTCCCTGCCACCCACCCACCCACCCACC